AAAAAAAAACCTGGAGATACTTTCTCCAGTGCTACCCTCTCAGTTCAGGTTTCTTCATACCAAAAGGAGAGCCTTCCGTAATCTTGTACTCTTATCGTATTGTTATCCTTAATCTTGTATTCTATCGTGTTGTTATGTAACAGTATGTAATAATGGTAAATAGCACTCACTCTGGAGCCAGACTTCTTAGGTTTATATTCTAGCATTCTCTCAATACTTATGTAGTCTTGGTCAAGTTACTTAATCAGTTTTTGCCTCAGTTTCCTCATCTGTAAAATTTAGATAATAAAATCCTTATGAAATATGTTATGAAAATTAAATTATTTAATTTATATAAAACATCTCAAGCAGTGAGAAGCACTTATGGTGCTGTTTATATAGGTAAGCTATTGTTATTGAAATCTGCTGACTGCCTAGACATTTTTAAAAACTTCTTAGTTTGGTTAAAGGGACAGAAGATATCCTTTTTGTTATTATAAGAGTGACATAAAAATATGTGCATAATTAAAGACTTTTAGCTGTTTCCTTATGATCTATTGACTTAGGTGGTACAACATCTCGGCCCTGCAACTGATTTTTATAAGAAACTTGCTTTAGATTGCTCAGGACAGCAAACTGCAGTGGATTTATTCCTTTTAAGTTCACAGTATTCTGATCTTGCTTCTCTAGGTAAGCAGGTATCGTTATGTTTATCTGTTCACATAAACATTTTTAACGCAAAATGAAATGTAAACTCTTCAGTAAACACTCTCAGTATTTTTGGGAGAATTAGATAGAGAATATCTATGAAAACTATCAGGATACTTTAAAACACTATGCAAACATGACATGTCATTAGTATTTTGTTTATGTAAAATGATTCCCTTATTGTTCTCAGTGTTCTGTTGTATGTTATATTTTATAAATGTTTCTGTTTTCTCAGATTTATATATATAGTCTTACTTTGACAGCTTAGATTTTCTCACTGTGGCTTAGATTTATTCATAATATAGGTTCTGAACTAGGGTTGGATAAGTAGAATGTTATTATAGTAGTTAATACTTTTTGTATTTCTTTCTAAAGCTTGCATGTCCAAGTATTCTGCTGGGTGCATCTATTATTATCCGTCTTTCCACTATACCCACAATCCTTCACAAGCAGAAAAATTGCAAAAAGACCTAAAACGATACCTCACAAGAAAAATTGGGTTTGAAGCTGTTATGAGAATAAGGTGCACTAAAGGTATGAAATTGTAAAGTTTTATGTTCATCGTGTTTTATGTTGAATACTTACATTAAAATCAGTGAGCATTTTATATATTGCCTACATATGATCATAACTCATGATCATAGAAGACTTTTGTTTGATCCAGTTAGCCACACCCTGAATAAATATATAGAGTTATTGAGCCAGGCATGGTGGCTCATGTCTGTAAGCCCAGCACTTTGGGAGGCAAGTCAGGAGGATTGCTTGAGCCCAACAGTTCAAGATTAGTTTGGGCAACATAGCAATACCCCGTCTTACAAAAGAATAAGAAAAATTAGCCATGTGTAGCATCTCGTGACTATAATCCTAACTACTCAGGAGGCTAAGATAGGAGATCACTTGAGCCTAGGCTGCACTGAGCTATAATCACACCACTGTACTCCAGCTTGGGCAACAGAGCAAGATTCTTTCTCTAAAAAACGTGTGTTTGTGTGTATGTGTGTATAGGGTGGCCACCCTGTATATATATTGGGGGGGGTGTTTATTGAATAATTATTGCCCAGTCTCTTAAAATAACTTAAATAAATGGACAGAAGTAACATTTTGCTTTACTCAGGAAGACCCTAAGAGAAAGCCTATTATCAGAAATCACTTGAGGAGAATAGAGAAGATCTTAAATGAAAATTGTCAAATTGAGGATCTTTGCCTTTATAATTATTTAATTTACATTTCCTTGGTTTTATGTGAATGCTTTTTTGGAGGGATTCATATTCCTTATTTTAAATATAAGATCAGCTGTATAGTAATCTTCATTTATTTAATTTTGTACATTAGGTCTATGTCTGACTTCAAACCACATATGAGAAAATGTTAATAAGATTATATATCAGGGTCAGGTGTGGTGGCCCATGCCTGTAATCCTAGCATTCTGGGAGGCTGAGGTGGGTGGATTGCCTGAGCTCAGGAGTTCGAGATGAGCCTGAGCAAGAGTGAGACCCCCATCTCTAAAAAAGAGTGTGGCATTGTAGCAGGCACCTGTAGTCCCATGTATTTGGGAGACTGAAGCAAGAGAATTGCTTGAGCCCAAGAGTTTGAGGTTGCTCTGCGCTATGACGCCATGGCACTCAACCTCAGGGTGACTAAGTGAGACTCTGTATCAAAAAAGAAAAAAAAAAGATAGCAGTATAAGTTAAATGTGTTATCTCCCTTTTATGTAACCGCCATTGGTTTTTTTGAATTAGTAATTTAGAAATTGACCTATACTTCAGCTTCACTCTCAGTTATCCTTTTGATTAGCTAGAGATAAAGACACTACTGTTAACTTCATCTTTTATATCAAGTTTTCTCTTTTTTAGGTCTTTCAATGCATACTTTCCATGGAAACTTTTTTGTTCGTTCCACTGATTTGTTATCTCTTGCCAACATCAATCCTGATGCTGGATTTGCTGTGCAGCTGTCAATTGAAGAAAGTTTGACAGATACTTCCTTAGTGTGCTTTCAAACAGCCTTATTATATACATCAAGCAAAGGTATTGGTAACAGAAATGGAGGATAGCCTGCAGGAATTCTCCTGTCCTTTTATACACTCTTAGGTGGGGGAAAAGATTGAATACACAGTGGGAACTAATACAGTTTACATTAGTTAATCAAATGTATGTCCCATTATTTTCTTTCATTTTTGAGCTCTTACTTTTGAAACTTTAATACACTTTTTTTGATTTACATTTCTAAGACTTACATTTCTAAGATCATATGCTTCTGGCAAACAGTTCACTCTAAATCCAGCTATGCCTTCCTTTGCATTATTTCTTACCCCATAAGATTAAAAACTGCATAGCAATAGGCCTTCATTTGTTATTTGATAGTCTTAAGTTTTCTGATATTTTACTCTGTTGGATGTAGTTTAGAGTAAGTGATGTTAAAAACTAGAACTTAATGTTCAACTATATGTATGTGAAATATAATGTATATTCACATTTGGAGAGTGCTTAATTTTCTTTAAAACATGTTAACTGGC